ACAGCAAGCCAGATCTACAATCTCCGGGCTCCTTACTTCAATCCCTCAACTTCATCTGCAACCCTAACTTCTGAGCCGAGTCTTAATGCATGCAGCATGTACGTGGTATTGTGTGACAGGACAGGACTCCAATCTGCTGTGCCACGCTGCCTAGAATCCAGCCAATCTTAGCAACTGCAAACTTCAACGCTCGCTGACTAAATCCTGTGAGTGGCCCGAAATCCCTGCGCATGAAAATTGCCAACCCAGGCAAGCCCTAGCAAACACAGGCGCTGGCGAGCCTTGTAGCCGCACCACTTGTCAGGGAGCGTCTGCTTGAACGGCTTCAGAATCCCGGTAACCTAGTCAGCGATCGGCAAGCATGCTTCAAAAACTCGCCAGCACGGCGCTCAACAGCCAGGGAGTGAGCAGCTCTTAGTTGGGCTCATTGTGCTGAAAACAGATAAAACAAGGACGAAGATTGCTTGGCCTTGCAAAATTTTGATTAGCTCGCATGTTTGGAAGTTGACAAGCAGCTGACACCTGCAACTGTCGGGTCTTTAGGCAACATCAGGAGCTTCATCCACTAACACTTTCGCAACCGCTGCAGTGACACTCAAGCAAAAAATGCAAAGCCAAGGCACTTCCTCTATGACAAACGTTTTCGGGTTCCTCTGCCGGATCTTCCAGAGGCAGCTCTTGGTCACGCTGGCTGCTTCCCTCAGAGACAGCTTGAAGTTCAAATTGACATACGCAAAACGCCTGTACCGCCTGTACAGCCTGTACCGTCTGTACCCATCTATTGACAGTCACAATTTGAATTATCAGGACTCCAGGACTCAGGACTGTCAGGAACAGGGAATGCGGCATTGTCATTGTTGTCAATGTACTTTGAGCGACGGTGCGGTATACATCAGCTATCGGTGGCATTGATGCTTCAGCCAGCCCAAAACCAACTAGGGAAGCCCTGAAAGTCTGAAACTATTCAATGACAATGACGGTCAAGACACAAACAGCAAGCCATTGCTAGTACCAGCTGTCATCTGTCAATCTTGCCAAAAAAAACTCAGTGGCTCACCAACGAGTGAAATGTGACAAGTGCTAAACTTCGAACTACCGTGTATGGACTATGGACAAACTCTCTGGAATGGCACGGTTTGTGTTTGTTTGCTTCGCAGCCAATCCTGGGCCCTTTCAACAGCCAAGGACCTCTTTAACAACGCCGAACTAGCCCTGCTTGGCGTGCCGTGCCCTCTCTATTCGTCCCTCAACCACCGCACGAAGAAGGAGTTCTACAACCCATTTGTTGAGACACTTGGTCTTGCAGTGCTGCGCAGACAGTTTGGTCAGGAGAGTCAGGAGTCAGGAGTCATTGTATAGTGCAGCATAGTTGACAGCAATGAGTCAATGAGGCATCATGCAAGTGAATCGGAATTCAGAACATCAATGCTCAATGCTACTGCAACTGGCCACACGCATGGTTTGCAACCGCAAAGCGAAACATGTCGGAATCTACCCAAGCTAACACTGAGTGAAGCACCAATTCACACCTCTTAGTGGCTAGGGGGAATTTGCCCTACCCACACGGCAAGTGTCATCCGTTCCTTCTTTGTCATCATGACGGCCGTCGCAGGTGAAGCAGTGCCCTGTCTCATTGCCAGCAACGTCCGCGAAGAAGTGGTTCCCTCTCATGACACCGCAACGCACGCTTTCAACTTTCGCAAATGCCTGACATGACTCACAACCAATGATGACTCCATTGCCAATGACTATCATTCTATGATTCTATGATGATAGACTGAGACTGAATACGTGGCCTCTGGCAGATAGTATCGGTACTGTATCAGTGATCAGCTTGCTGCAAAAGCAGTCCTCATCAAACATTTTTTGCAAGTTTACTGCCTGGCACCCTTTTCCGCCCTTATCTTTCTGACCCGGCTCTGAATGACTGATATGTTGCTACCATGACCATGGACCATGACTCCATGACTATTACAACAACAACAACTACTACTACTACTACTGACTCTGTCAACTCGCTCATGCGACCACCTGCCGAACATGCAAACCAAGGCACACTCGCCATGCCGAAGGCACCATTCCCGAGACTTCTCGTCAATCTCGCTCGAGAAAAGCAGCTCAACCTTGAGCTGCAAGTGCTCCCCGATGTGCTTCCTAGGCTTCTTAGCAGGCAGTGCTGTAGTGCTATAACGATGTTGAAGGCACTGCCAAAGTTGACTAAAAATCGAAAAATTGCGCCCCTGGAAAGCGAATGGGCCGCGGCCCATAGACAAAACAAAACTTGCAAACATCAGACTGAACATTGACGACTACTTCAACTACTTCAAATTCAAATGCAACACCCATGCTGGCGCCCAATCGCGGCCCTCCCACCGTGGCCACCCATGTTGCTTACCCACCCAAGCTGAAATCATCCAAAACACAAACAATCTACGAACTTGCAACCCAGCCACCCAAACCCGCAATGACTGGCGCTGTAGCCTTGCAATAATGTCGGCCAAGATGCCTGATGTAGGCTGTGGTCCCTGCTCCCTCGCAGGCGCTCCACACGCGAAGCCTCAGATTGCACATTATCCCGGCACACGCTTGCTCAAACTGACCCTCATCAACGCATAAATTCATCGATCATCAAGCCGCTCTATCGCTCTTGCTTCTCAAACCGGGCAACTCAGACCTAACTACAAATGACCTGACCTGGCCACCAGCCTAGAGCATTCTAGCATTCCTCTCTTGGGAATGAGTGACACTGCCGCGGGGCGCCGGCTGCCAAAACAATGGAGCTGTGTTGAGCGTTCATTTCAACATTCAACGGATGGTCGACCTGAAAGATTGATTGATTTTTGAGTTAGGTTCAGAGTCCAGAGTCATTGTCATTGATGCCAGCTACGGTGCGCTGCAGCAACTGTCACCCCGTTGCTACGTCAGTGGAAAGCACTTGCCCATGGCCCATGCCGCATGCCCCCATGACCAATTGCCTTGTTGCAAAACTCTCACTGATGCCGATGCCGATGCCTGCCTGGGCAACCGCCTGCAAAACTCGAAGCCCTCCTATCTGCCTACCTGGCTGATGTGTAATCCTCAACCTCGTGCATGGCCTCTTTTAGGCCTTGTTTCCATTCGCAGCCCGTGCGCCAGCAACCCTCACTGGGAAGAGCCTTCAGCAAACGGCTCAGGTTGAAGAAGAGCGCTGCCAGGCAAAGGCTCAGCCGGTTCAACTTCATGTGCTCCAGCACGGGGTCCATCTGGCTGTCCTGATCTTTCACATCCATGCACACTGTGATGATGTTCCGTGTCTCCCGTAGCATCATGCCGATTTTGTCAGCCGGCCCTGCCATCTCTGAGCGCTTTCGCTTTGGCCTGCCCTTGCCAGCTGCGGCCTCTTCGAGATTGACCTCGGGAGGTGTGACTGCCCAGCCCTGATCCTTCGCCACCAAGTTGTGGATCCACTGCTGCGCCAGATGCTGGGCCTGTGCCAGCTCTTCGTTGAACTTGTCCAGAGCCTCGGGCATGAACGTCATCAAGCGCCACATGGAGCTGAGAACCGCCTCCACCAGCGTGGCAAACTTCGCCGCAGCTGCCACCTGTCGCATCATGATGGGCTCTGCCACCAGAACTTGTGCCACGAGCTGGCGAAGGTCTGGCACGAACGTGTTCTTGCCCTGCGCGAACTGCTCGGTCCTGTTCTGCAACGCCTGCTGCACGGGCAAGTTTGCACCAGGGTCACCCGAGCCTCTGCCAGGGTCACCTGAGCCTCTGCCAGATCCACTGGCCATGTTGCGCCCAGCCCAGGCAAGCAACTGAGGGGTCACTTGAGCATGATTGGGCGCCGCGTACAAATCTCAAACCAAGCCTGCCTGAAAGAATGCAGCAAACCACATGTTTCATCATGTCTCAAATGAGGTGCTTCTCAGGCCTCATGAGCCTCAGTGTCCGTTTACAAGCTAGCTTGCTTGGCAACTCTGACGTCTGAGCAGTTGCTCCCCACTCCCACCTTGAAAAACAACTCAGTCGAAGAAACAAGAGCAAGTTGCCGTGTGACCCGAAAAGTTGGACAATGGGTGAAGCTGAAGCTGAAAATAAACCTAACTCCCCGGGCCCTTCAATGATGAATAATCTGAATAATCCAAGAAACGGACCAGTCTGCTGGCAGTGGGCCCGATCCACGCCAGCGCGCTCCAGGTACCTTGTCAGACTGGCTGAGATGTTGCGAGCTGCGTGAGATGCAAACATGCTGGCGCTGCACTGACTCCAGTTGCTCATGGACTCATGTCAAACTCATCTGAAACTTCACTTTCTGACAAGCACCCCTTCCGTACCCACAGCTGCACTTGTCAAGTCGAGTGGCCGTGGTACCCACGCTTTTGGAAACACAGTGAGCAGCTTTCCTCCGCCAACTTCTCCATCATCCGCCATGACACGCGACCCCCTAGCTTTCGCTTGCCTTTTTCTAAATCATGGCGGGGGTTTATGGTATCAGTATCAGTGTTGACATATTGACTGTCACTGCCTGCCGTGGCTGTTCAACATGAGGGGGCCAAGCTGTGTCCAGAATGGAAGCTGCTCTGAACAAGCCTTGTCACCTGTCTCATCTGTCCCAGATATGAGCACTCAAGCTGCAAATGTGAATCGCCACTGACTTGCCTCACTCAAGGCAGGTTGTGCAACCTTTAGTTGCAATTTGGACCTAAATTAGGTCCAGTTCATGTTCAAAAAAAGTGCCAGTGCAAAATGCTGGAAAACCATTATTTGGCAGCTCTGGCAAGGATAATGTTACAACAGCCATATATTTACATGGTTCCCTTCGCTGGCCACAACACAACTTGTTTCGTGGCCCTGGCGGGCTCCGTTAGAATAACAGAAACACCCAAATAAAGAGGCCAAGTTTTGAAATAACACATACCCAAATGAGTGGAGGCTGAAGGTCCTGACTGCGGCTGGGATTATGCCCAGGTTGGTCGCTTTGGTCTCGCTTGCAGTTGGCGGCTCGTTCCATTCGACAGGCCATGGGCCGTAGCTACATCGCGTCCAGCGACGCCAGTGTGGAGAGGCCTGGGAGACTTGGTGCAGTGGGCAGAATCCAAGTTGCACTGTTGGCATGCAGCCGAGTTTTGCAGGTATGGCTGTGGGTCAGAACCAATGGTACCATTTTGGGTGGGTGCACCAATATTTTAGTCTATTTTAGTGGGGAGTGGAATGTTCACTGGGTGTACGGGACTTTGACCCATGGCCGTATGTTGCCATGTCGTGAGTATTTTGATGCTTGGTGATGTTTGTTTGTGTTGGTTCTCGGGGAATCAGTTTTGGCAAGCCGGAAGATCCCTTGAAAAGAGCCACCAGGTTCCGTGCCATGTCCTACGCAAGTTCCCTATCCCACACACTCCATGTTGGTAATATATTCACTAGCGTTCCTCAGGCCAACGTTCGCGAATGTTGGCAAATAGCAGCGACAGTTCAACATTGGGGTGTCTGTCAACCCCAGCCAGTCGTTTGGAAAAAGGGCCAGGGACTCGGGGACTCGGGAGCTGGGCCAGGATGGTGACCCTCTTGAAGTGCAAGCCACTGGCACAGGCCTCAGAGCTTCACACCTGAGATGTTTGCTTGCCCAGAGTGGTTTCTCTTGAAATGCCACGAGCAATTCAGTAGTTCCCTGGGAAAAAGACACAGAGGTGTCCTTTTCATCCGCAGGCGTCCTAAAAGCAGGTGTCCTTTTTAGATCGGTTAGTTTGGTTAAAAATAGATGGCCCTGGTCTAGATGGGGTTTATGCCGTTTACCAGGACCATCTATGCGTCCAAAAGGCCACGTATGCCCAAAAGGGTGTCCTTTTGCCCACCACTAGAGGTCTGGGGTACGTATTGCAGCGGCTTCCTTGTTGCTGAGACGATTACCCGGATACGTGGAGCGAGATACCGCAGTTCCCTGTGAAGACGGGTGTCTTTTTTGAGTTCACTCTGGAGCTGTTTCCAAGGGAATCCGAGGGGAGAGCCACCCATTTTGGCAGGTCCCCGCAGTCCCCGAGTTCTTGCCAGGCTACAGAAACTGGATGCCATAGTGCAGGTGTTTTTGTCATCTGGTGCAGCGCAAAGAGCACAGTGGCCATGTGCGCCTTTTCTTCGGAGTTGCTTTCCGGACCGATAAGCCATGCGATTTTAGTTCTTGCTTCAGTTGTCCAGGCGTTCTTTGTGTTCTGTTTTTTTGTCTCTTCATTTTTTCTAAAAAGCAAACTGTGCAGTTGAACTACTTGTAACATTGTATCACATACTTTGTGAGCAGACAATCTGGCACCATTTATTCTTAGGTTTCAAAGCTTCCCCTATGAGACAATGAGGATCTCAACTTATCAAGGTGGTGAGTGTGTGTTGTTCCCATGGTTTCCATTGGCCCCTGACTTCTTCCCTGTTTTTTCTCTGTGTGTTTGTTCCATGGCTTCCATTTGTCCCCCCCAACCAACAACAAAGCAGCTACCTGGAAATGTCCCTAGTAGTTGTAAGAACCAAGAACCCCCCCCCCCTTTTTTCCTTGGGTTCCTCGCCCCTGCTTTGTCCTCGGACTCCTTCCGTGTCCCAAAAAAATCCACCTTTTTTCCATAGTTTCTACGGGTCCCCCCGTTTTTTCTCCTTGGTTTGCCTTCCGTGTCCCAAGAAAGATCCCCCCTTTTTTCCATGGTTGCCCTTGCCTCAGTTTTTCCCTTGGAATCCTTCCGTGTCCATCAGAGAAATCCCCCTGAGGACTCCTCGGTGCACATCCAGGCGCTCGCGGCGATGCAGCGCCTCTCCCTGCGCCGACGCGCCCAGGCGCAGAGCGGAGCGAGCGGAGCGAGTGCTTGCTGAGTCGGGGCTCCCCCGTCTTCGGGGAGTTTTCTGAGAACAGCCGGCCGTGGTGGTCAAAACCGTTTTGGGACCCCATTCGATGGTGGGTGAATTCACCACTCACTTTGGAGCCATGGCCAGCGGAAGCTGCCGTAGAAGGAACATAGTGGCCCAAAAGCCTGGAGACCCACATCGGCAGCTTGAAAAGGTCAAAAGCTGCCGCGTCCCGAGCTATTTCATTTTGGGCCAGGGGGGCCATGCTCTGTTTGTTTTGTTTTCCTTGTGGACAGGAAGGCTTAAGGGCTCCATTTTCAGCCAATCCATTTTGGAGCGCCATGTTCTCTGTGTTTCCCTCCCGCAGATTAATATGGAAGCTCCCAAGACCCCTTTGAAAGACTTGCGTGACGGTCCCCCCCCCCTCCAACTTTAGAGCGGGGAGCCAACTGCCTGGGACGCAAAAAGAAGTGGCAACTAGGTCACCAGGGGATCAACTCGTAAGAATACGCATGGGCTGCCAAAATATGCAGTTACCCCAAAGGTTGATAGCCAACTCACCAAATGTGCAGCTCGCCAATCTGCCCGTGGGGCAAATGCTTCATTTGATTTGGGTGTGATCAATTGCAACCATCACGGATTTCCAAAAGAACACCACTCGTAAAAAGTCCCTGACTGTTAGTCAATACCCTGTTACCTTCCAAGCTTTGGGAGGTTACAATTTTTGGGAAGGCCTGCTAAATGGTAGGCACACAGTTTAGACCTTTGCTTTGACAATCAGGAAGTGAGGCAAGCCAGTGGTTCGTTCAAATTCGCCACCAAACAGGGATACTCCCTTGATATGTTTGTTGGATGGTTGAATGCACAGACAGGGTCCCCATGTTTCCGAAACAGCGACTCTTCCTTTGCTCATATTTTGGGCCTTACTTCCGGGGATGCATATTGTTGGTTCATCACTGGAGCACATGATGAGAAAGTGACTTTTGATGCATTCAAAGTCCAAATGGGTTAGTGAGCTTCTATATAGTGTGTTGGGTGTCGACCATGTAGCGTGCCTTTTGGTTTCCAAGCTCGTTTCAATTTTCTGTAGTAGGTCTACGAACATTTTGTCGGATGGTTTTTGCTAGCCTCTTCTTGACTGGATGTCCATTTGACCTGGTGCCCTTATTTGGCAGGACCGGATGATCGAGATGGGCCTGGTCGAGTGGGCGTGGACCCAAAGCCCGCCGCTTTTTTCCGCTGACTCGAGGGGCAGAGGCAGAGCGGATGGCCTAAATGGTTGTTTGTCAACCTAAGAGCACCTTAGAGCAACTCGAACAGGTGACAGGTGGCGTTCCCTTGAACCCACCATAATCTGCCACAAAACCATGCAGGGTCAAATTGCAGAGTTTCCTTATTCTCGTACTTGCAATAGTTGGTGCGTCCACCATGCTTACCGCGGTGTGGTGAGAATGTTGGGGATCTCTCATATCTGCTTGCGAGTGAGCGAAAAGGTCCTACGACTCACTAGACGCGATTACCAGAATCCAAAATGGTATGTCTAATGGGAAAGCAGCTTTAGTTTAGAGATCTCACATTTGTTGAACACACGAAACAAGTGGCAAACCCCAAGATTCTTGACCCACTTACCTTATTGCGTGAGAAACGTTGCTTCCTTTTGCCGCCTTCGCCATCGGACTGCCCGATCACTAAGCCATCGACAGCCACGCCTTCTGCTCTCCGTGAAGCTGATATTCGACGTACCTGCTGACCAGACACGTTCCGACATGTCCATGGTTGTTGTTGGGAAACATTTTGCATTTTTGCTTATTGTGGTTTAGTGGGAAATCCCCACTTAGCTGCTGAAAAATATTTGTTTGCTTCCCTTCCAACGTCAACCAAGTCTGACTGTCAGTGACGGACGTTTTGAACCTCAAGAGCAAAGCCCAGAGTCGAGGCTTGAAAAAAATGAACTGCAAGTCGAGCATCGTTGGTGGTATGCGGACTCCTGACAACTGTTTGGATTAATTCTAATGAGCAGGAGAGTCGGGACTTTGAGTGTTGGGCTACGGCAATTGCCTTTTTTGCTTTCTGCTCACCAACCCACCCACCCAACCAACCAACCAACAAACCAACCACCCAGCCAGCCAACCAACCAACCAACCCACCAACCACCCACCCAGCTAGCCAACCAACCAACCAACCCACCAACCACCCAACCCACACCAACCAACCAACCCCTTACACAGCTAGGATTATGGAAATTCTCCTGAAGCGGGTCCCTTCGTTTTCAAACAAATCACATGGCAAACTCCAGCTTCATCACATAGTCAATCAATATTCATTGACTTCCCCACTGACATGGAATTTTGATGAGCAACCCCTATTTCCTAAATGGACCTTACCTTATTGTCAGGACGGGGTAGCTATTCATGCTGTGAATGTGGTGCCACCGAAAACCACTTGGAATATATGATTCTATGTGTGGTCTCGCGCCGAGCACGCTTTGGGGTGTATTGAGAAGAAAGCCAGCACGAAACTGACAATCAGTTGAGTGCTTCATATCTGGCAAGACATGGCCCTACTGCACGTCTAGGGAGATCCACTTGGTCGCAAACAACATGGGCAAAGGCAAGCCTTAGTTGAAACCGCGCAATACGTAGACATGTTCACATTGTCCCGGCGCCCCTTTGTCATGCACAGCAGGTATATAATATGAGCTTCACCCTGTGATTTCAGTGTTACGTTTGCCCCTTGGCCGAGCTGGTCTTTTCTGAGCCGGCAACCCAAGCACGATACCTGGAGTCTCCCTCACGCTTTAAAAATGGGTCCATGACCCCTTTATTTTGGGTAATGGCCAACCATTTCTTAAGGGTCACGGAGACTGCAGGTAGGTTTGTATCTCAAATCGAGGCTGCGAGAAGTCCCAAGTATTGACTTGGATTGGCCAGCCCTGGGGATTCGAGCGTAGCGAGGACCTCAATTGAGGAATGCGCGGTTTTCTTCCTCAAGCAGCTTCGCTGCAGGGGTTCTTGATTGAATCTGTAACAGGTGTATGGTTGCCTTGCTGGTTGCGGATTCGCCGCATTTCTTGAAGGCATTGGAGAACCTGATTGTTTTTGTGAGACACAGAAAGGAGGGCCCCTACATGTTTAACCAAAGAGTTGCCGCCTGTTTGGCCCGTATTTTGCCTCCATCAGGCATATCAAACCCTTGGGTTCTGTGTATTTACGTGCGTCGTAGGTCCTTGGATTAGGATTTGGCATTCTATACCCCAAGTTCCTGGCGTCGGGTTGAAGAATCACCAGGCCAAGTTGTAATTCAACATCAAATCCGCGCAGTTATGACGGGAAGCAAGTAGGCATAGAATCATGGCCCAAGAGCAACATCTTCACCCAAAACATTGTGAACAAAGGCGCATTGGCAGGCGTCTCCAGGAAAGTGCCACAGTAAACCATGATTTCTTAGGCTGATTGATTTCCACTTTCTAGCGGAGTCTGACCAGCTTGGGACATGAATTTCAGGCAACTCAGAAGATTCTCCGGTGTGGGCTTCAAAAGAGATACCCCAGTGTTCTCTCCCGCCACCCCAAAGCTTTATGAAATGAACCTCCCAGGGTCCTCACTGCGATGTCACTCATCACTCATAAATGTCGATTGTTTCGCCTTGTCGTCCGTGATCATACTCTCTGTTTCCAGCGGACCCCATAGAAAATGGGCGGTTTGCTTTTGGCTTCATTTCGAAACTTTGGCACGGTACCCAATCCTTTCGGGCATCAAATGTGGCGAATGAGGTGGTCTCGGTGCTGGGATCGCCCATGGAGGCGGGGAAGCGGGGTTTCGAAATTGAAGTGGCAGGCAGAAGCGTTTTCTCAGGGCTTTTGCTTCAACATCTTCAACCACAAAGAATATGGTTTCCCCGCCCGCTTTCGGCTTGAACTCCAACAGATTGGTGTCCTTTGGGTGTTTCCTTCAACCTCCCAAAGGATGTTGTTCCCGGGCTTGGTCCGCACCGATGTTGCAACGCGAAGGGGCCAGGCATGATCAATGGGCGGCAGCCAGCAGTGGCCGGCTTTCAGTTACCAGTTGGAGGGGGTCCTTGTTTTCAATTTGTCATTAACCCCCTTTCAGATGAACATAAAATCCCCAAATCCATCTCTTTCAGAGTCTTCTTGTGGGAGACCCCCTGATTGCACTCTAGGTCGATCCGCAGGAGAGTATGATGATTTGTGCAGAGACTTCACTTCTTTAGAAAGACAACAGTTAGTGGCAGTTCTATACTGCCATCCACTGTCAGTGGGAATGTCAAGCCCAACCATCTCGGGATTCTCCGATAAGATTCGTGCAAAAAGCGCCAAACACTTGCTGATTCGATAGGCAGGAAAACAAACGGGAGAAACCATCCATCCTATGGTTTCCTTCATTCGGAAATCTGCAACAGTGTAGTACCACATGTACATGAGCATGTGCCCGACAGCCTTTTACATCGATGAAAGAAAAGGGCGGCGCCTCCGCTGCATGGTAGCGGAGCCCTGGAACACGTGAGACCCAGGAGGCGGTGCCAGGGCAGGTCACAAGCCCTCACTTTGTGACGCGGTCCGGGGCTGTAAGACCCACAGAGGCGACCGCATCCAGAAGACCTCTCAGGAGGCGCGCACATGGCTGGCCTCCTTGAAACGCGTCCCTATGGCAAGCATGGAGACCGCTGAGCAGCAGGCGAATGCAGGCAATCTGGTGCAGGCTGTCTATGGGGAGAGTGCTAGAGAGCACAGCGTGACCCTCTTCAACACCCCCACCCAGTGCGTTGAGCATGATCATGAACGCAGAGCGAGGCAATGGGCTACAAGCCTGGAAGATGATGGTGGACACCTACGAGCTGAACATTGGTGGCAGGCACACAGCCATGCTCATGGGCATCATCGGCCCAGAGTGGAGCAAGATCACAGAGAATGAGTTCATCCAGATCTTGGAAGAGTGGGAAGTCAAGATCAGGAGGTACCAGGACCAGACTGGCGAAGACATAAGCCCGGTGTGCAGTGATCATTGAAGCACGCCCCAGCTGGAGCCAGGTTGGCTTTGAGGACGAGCTCTACCGGTTGAAGAAGTGCGTGCTGGGCTTCTTGCAGACTGGCACAAAGTTCAACTCCCAGGGTGAGAGTTCTCATGGAGGTAAAGATGGTCACTAAAGAACCGCAGCAAGGGCAAAGACAAGCAGAAGAGCTTTGGCAAGTCCTGACAAGTCCAAGGGCAAGGACAAGAGTACGAGGACCAAGTTGGATGGCAACTGCTCCTACTTCGGGAAGTATGGTCATGGAAGGCTGAGTGCAGAAGGCGAGAGGCCGAGAACAAGAGCAGAGGAAAAGGGTCCGCAGGAGCAGTGGAAAGCAGTGCAACCTCACAGGCAACCACGAGACCTACCACAACATCAACCAGTGGCGCGGTGTCCTACAACTTGGCGGATCCCGAGGACCCGATTGTGGAGTTCAATGATGAGTACAGCAAGGACTGGGTGGCCATGGTGGAAGAAGAGAAGAAGGACGAGATGGAGATCTTGGTGAGCAATTCCAAGACAGATTTTGGGCAGATCTGGTGGACAGTGATGGATCTGTTGGAGCAATCACTGGTGAGGAGCTCTACATCAGGCACAACACCAAAGGCCAGTTCATCATGTACGACACCGGCTCGGACGAGTGGCATGAGTGGCTTTGGTGGACAAGTTGAATCTCAAGTGAATCTGTCAGCAGTCTCTGGTGATGCTTTGAACGTCAGCGAGGAAGATGGGGAGCGAGGCCATGTGTTATGTGAGACGTCCAGATCAGCGCAAATGCCCACATCCTGTCAGCTGGAAGATGTTCAAGGAAGGCTTTGTGTCCCACATCAACGCGTTCCTATGTCAAGGACCCCATCAACGGCAAGTTCATCCCGCTTTACCTGAAAGGCAACTCCTTCAGGATCATGGAATCTACATTCCCGCCAAGGGTCGACAACCTGGACATCTACTTGGACACAGGCTGGGCGAGCTGCAAGAAGGAAGACCGGGAAGAGCACAGCATGTGGAGTCTTTCAGCTTGGAGGAGCAACGTTGAGCAGCTACAGCAGGAGCCTCAACATGATCTGCCAACGGAGGTGTTGCAGCATGCTCTGAGGGATTGTTCTTCAAGCAGATCGGCTACCCAATGGCAATGCAAGTGTGGATGGATTCGTCAGCGGCAATCGCAGTATTCCAACGGCAAGGAGAGGGACGCACTTGGCATTTGGACGCGAAAAGCCTAAAGATTCAGACAGCTCTCAAGGAGCGGTGTGGCCAACATTGGCACGAAGGGGCTGATCGAGGCGAAGTTCAGCAAGTTGAGGGAAGACCTCAACATCAGACGCTTTGCGGGTTGCATCAGTGCAGCAGTGAGTGCAAGGAGGAGACAGGCCAACATGGGCCCGAGCGCCATGCTGGGAGTGAACCCCTTGGCAAGTTTGCCGCTAGTGCAGCAAGCAGAGGCGAAGAAGAGCGGAGACATCTTCGTTGTGTGCTGCGTCATGTGGACCATCATCAGCATGATCTTCTGCCGTGCAGTGATGTATGCAGGCACCTGTGGCAGAAACATCCCGTGATCAGGCGGGTGTGCCAGGATTGTAAAGGCTTGAGCCCTGGCTGAGCATCGGGCAAAACCGCCCATTGTTTTCCTCGAAGACAGTGTAGTACCACATGTACATGAGCATGTACCTGACAGCCTTTTACATCGATGAAAGAAAAGGGCGCCTCCGCTGCAAAATCCCAACACGGTTCATTCCCCACACCCGAACTCGGTCATTCCATAGCGCAGCAGCGGTCGAAAAGTACCAGCGTGGGGGTTGTTGCCGGAGCTTCGCTGCTTGCAATGCTAGAAGACCTCGCGAGGCTTGTTGACGCCTCGGGGCCAAAAGAGCAGCCTTCTTTCAATCACATGCTTGTTCTTGTTTGTTTTGTTCTTGTTGTTTTGTACGTATATTTACATATCATCAACATGGATGAACCAAAGATTATATAAACCTAAATGTTGTCAACCAAAACACATACCCCATGACCCGATTAAACTGCCCATGCGGAAGCTGTCGCATAGTAACTTTGCACGCCTCTTACTTGATGCTCGTGGCCTTTTGTTGCACGATGAAGGAACCTTGTGTGTATCTGGGGAAACCCAGTCCTTCAACATGATGTGCACAAACATCCATCTTGGTAAAGTACTGCAACACCGAAACTGGAAACACACCTCAAGTAGGCTTCAGAATGAGTGAGCATGGGATGTGGTGGGTGAGAGTGTCCGAGGCTTGCCAGGCGCGTTGACCCCGGCTTATTCTGATGGGTGTGGACGACCTTCCTAGTGGTCTTGGCATTTGGGGGTGCTTTTCTTTGAGGGTACTCTCTTGTCGTGGGTTTTTAGCGGGAAACCAAAAGGAACATCGCCATTTAGCAGGTAGCGGAGCATGTGAGAGATTGATTTGTTTCCAGCCAAACCAAAGGTAGGCAAAATGCAAATCTAGAAGCCCAGCCCAGGTCCACCCCCTCAATCCCTGTAAATTGCTCGGGAAGTGTTGATTTTCCCCGAGCCAGCCGCAGGTTTTCTGCTTGCAGGTGGATCCACAAGTTGTTGCTTCTCTGTTGGGGGGGGATTTTCTGTTGAAAGCCCACGTTTGTCCACATCTTATGGTTGGAGGTGAGGTGTTAAGGTCATTTTGCGTAATACCCTCGAGGAGTTCCCTATGAAAGAAGTTTGGGTTTTCCACAATCATGATCAGGGGCAAAACTATAAACCCAGCCATTGACCCTACTTTTCACAAGCAAGAAGAGCAACCCAGCCATGTTGATTAATCCGCTTCCCCCAATAACCCCCCCCCCCCCCCAATGAAACACAACGTCCTGAGTCCTAGGATATGTTATTTTTATTGTCATCATTATTAGGGGACCCCAGTTCTAGGTTTGGGGTGTCCAGCCTTCCGCTTTTGTTTACTTTGCTGAAGGTCATGAGCAGCCCAAAAGTGCTCCAAAAAAGGTTGTTGGATGCTGGTTCTTAGATATGGAATTACAAGGACACCGCAATCTGTGTTTGTTTTCCAAAGAGTGGTGCCTCTTCACGGAAGGCGGGCGGTTCCCTAGTAAGGCTGGAAGAGAGGTCGGTGGGAGAAATCGCAAGTCTAATATTGGTTTCAATTGGGGTTATTCTTAATTCAGTATGGAGTATCGCCCCCGGTTTCGCACGAACACTTAATTTTTGCGGGGGGGTTATGATTATTATTATTATTATTATTATTGGTCTGAGGGGAAACGGATGACCTTTGCCTAGTGTAGTGTTTTTGCCGGAAACCATCAACCAGAGAACTATGTTTCAGGTGCCGCATGGGTTTTGTACCCTGGGTTACCTTTTGTCAATGCCGCTTGAGCCCGGCCATTGGGCAAAGTTTGTGTCAACCAGACCCCTACGCCTTTGAAAGGAAACCTATGTTCAGTGACCTCGATTCATTTTGGGTGCCATGATCCATTTTAAAAATACGGTCACTTAGCTGAATTTCAACATTTCACGCAAGCGAGATTAAGGCCACTTAGGCTACAGAAGCGCCTAGTAGAAACAAGTGGTTCCTGGCTGTAGGAGTGCACATTTGAGCCCAGTCTATGTAAACTGAGCACAGTGGATGACGAGCAAGCCGCGATACTGGAATGACACTCAAACTAGCTGGTCGACACTGGAGTGAGTGTTCTTGTTGGTTTTCTTTTGAATCCCAACCGAAAGGGCGTTTCTGTCATTTTGAGAAACACTGTGTGTTTTAGCAGTGTTTAAACGGGCTGAGTCGCTCGAATTCCAAATGTCTTAAGAAGCCGCGCCCAGTGCTGACCACTGTTCTTGACGCATGGAGTGCGCGACCTGAAACCTGAAGCTCAACAACCGTCGACATTCGCCAAATCTCTGATCTGTAATTAGGCTACTGCCCTTTCCACATTCACCAAGTCTCTGATGCCTGGGCCACAGTTCCCTTTCCAAAGCACAGCAACCTCCGCCTTCCGCTGGCTCTTCCTTCCCATCGTAGTCTCGACGTTTTCCGGGCGCCGCGAGACCGCGTCCGAGTCGTAGTCACCGTCGTTGTCGGCAGGGCTTGGGCGCGCCGTCGGAGTTCTCCTTGGAGTTCGGCTCCGCGATGCTGATGGCCGGAGATGGGTTGGGGAGAGGGGAAGGAAGGGGAGGGGAGGGAGGGAAAGGGGAGGGGAGGGAGGGGAGGGGAGGGGAGGGGAGGGGGAGGGAGGGGGAGGGAGGTCTTGGGACCCTCCCCCTGGCCCTTCATTGGTAACATCTTGTTGGTATTGTGTGAAGCTAGGAAGGCACAAGCAGTGGTTTCTCTTTTGTCCCCCAAAAAACGGTTTCTATGTTGTTCCTATAAACCATCCCCAAAATTATATACGCACCCAGTGTTTTTCTGTTGAGGAAGGGGGGATATGGGTTGTTTCTTGAGGGGAGACGGAAAAGGGGGGCGTTTTGCATTTCTTCAGGGGAGCTGATTGTTCTTCGTTTTTGTTGGTGAGGGGATGTGTTCTTTTTTGTCTGTACCAGGGCATGTCGCCCTACCTCCGGTACACATGCGGCAGAGCCGCAAAGCAGGAAGGGGTAAGGGGAGCATCGCAACCGTCAAGGGACGAAGATTGGTGGTTCCCAGCCATCCCCTTAGCTTTTTAGCATTTTAGTGTTTAGTGGGGATTTCCACATAGCCCACTAAAAGTTAAACTTTTAGCGGGGGATCTGAGGACAGACCGGAAAGAGTTTGGGAAATGGGGCTGACTTCTCCCGCGCAGAACTTGGCGCTGCGCTCGGCGGGCAAGCGCAAGTGCCTGGAGCAGGACAGCAGCGGCACTTTTGCCAGTCACATATATTATACAAATATATATAGATACATTGTTACCCCCCCTCCAAGAGTCTTTGACGGTGTTTGCTGTACTTGTGCCCGATTTCCACCCCTTTTTCAGGCACTCCAATTTCGGGCCAATTAATTGTGCCCGCATTTGCTGACATTTGACTGTGCCTGTATCCACCTAAAACGCTTTAAAGCACATCAACGCATTTTTGGATCTAAGATTCAAGACTCAACATTCCCAGGTCTCTAGATCTTGAATCGAGTATGGGACCTCCCCAAAAACCCTTTAAAGCTAAATTTCAAGATTCCCACAACTCTAGATCTTGAATCTTCAATCCAGAAGGGAACCCCCCAACACGCTTTAAAGCGCATTAAAGCACTTTGGGATCTAGGATTCAAGACTCCCAGGACTCTAGTTCTTGAATCCATGATAAAAACAAGTTTGCGTTTTGGGGGCCCCATACTGGATTTGAGATTCAATTTCTACGATTTAAGCCGTTTTGCGGGCCTAATACTGGATTCAAGATTGAAGATCTAGAGTTGTGGGAATCTAGAATCTTGAATCTTCAATCCAAATGTGCTTTAAAGCGCTCTAAAGCGGGTCTTTTTGGGGGTGAGTTTTCAAGATCTAGAGTCCTGGAAATCTTGAATCTTAGATCCAAGAGCGCTTTAAAGCGTTTGCTGTCAGTCGTTCCAGTTTCAACTTGTGCGCGGTAAATACAGTTGATAGTTCAGCAAATGAACATTGGATGTGTTAAGCAAACTCCACACCAACCCTTGGATGTTGAAACAAACACTGCAAATACTGGTGTTTTGCATGTTGTTGGTGGGTTTTGCGCAGAACATATTTTGTTCAGGGACATTAGTTATTTGAGCAGACAGCGTGGCATTGGTCAGGGCATATGAGGTATGAGCAGCATGTTTTGGTATTGGCCGAGGTTTGTGAGCTGACAGACGAAGGGGATTTGCAGATGAGTTGAGATGAGAGATGGAGGATACGTAGCAGATATTTTGGTATTGCACAGGTTTGTAAGTTGATGACAGCAGTGTTTTTTGGCTGACATTTTTGAAGACTTCACAAGAGATGTTCTGACATATTATGGTCTAGACCCTGTGTAGTATGACACGTTACCTACCTTCGCTTTTACACTGTACCAAACTTTGCTTATGACGCGAATTGTCTAGTTAACTTGTGTTTATGACTAGGTTATGTATGAACTTATTGGAAAAGATCAAGAGGAGGAATACCCCAGACATTTGCTCAGAACGTAGGAGGGTAAATGCTATTTATACGGGTGGCAATCATCTGCGAAAGTCTGCCAAGATTGTGAAATGAGCCCGCTTTTGGTAATATCTGTCTAAAATGACTTGACCCCCTTACAGAAGCAGTAGGTGCCGGGTTTGGGGGGGTGCATATATATATATATTAATATATGTACTTATATATATATATATGTAGAACATATTTTAATAATGCGCATATACACACATGCATAGACATATATGTGTATATGTTTTCATTTGTTGAAATATATATATATATATATATATATTTATTTATATTTATGACATTGTTTGCCCTTTCGCATCGACTTCTGCCATGTGCCTCTGAACCAGAAAAGCAGATTCTCGCTTTTTGCCGCGGATCCGTGTTGCCAAGTTTGCACGAATTGTAGACTTCTGTTTCTCAGTGCGCATGGTCGCGCGGAGCGCGAGTTTTTGCTTGCTTGCCCGGGTCGAGAGGCCAAACGCAAGGTCCCAGATAGAAGGTTGGCCTAGGCTGCTGAGTTCTAGTACTCGGTCCAGCTATGCCTTTGAGACGCTCGTCAAAAACAAGCCCGCTGCTTCAAGGGATCTGCGAGGAGGGAAAGAAGAATAAAATTAAAGGACTGCCAGCGTTTGCCAAGGAGATTTCAAGCAAATAGTGGCTCGGTGAAACATTTGAGCAAGTGACTTGAGGTTCTTGTTCTGGTTCCTCTGTGAGTTCCTACACTTAATGGGTGGGTTTGGGCCATGAGCAAGTTTGGGGCGCCAGGAATTGGACCGCAGGTTTTGGTCCATGTTTCCATTTTCCACGGCAAACCATTTTGGGGTTACCCTTTTTTTTGGCAACCACAGCCATATGGCAGGACATGCTGCCGGTGGCGCTGAAGCTTATGGAGCCTCCTGGATGGAGCAGCCGGGTGGGCCAAAACGACAACGGTGCGCGTCACTTTTTTGGATCCCTGGAGGGTTTCGTCCGGGACATGAAAGGAAACAACGCGCCATTTTTTGAGGGTCCCCCTTTTAGTTTCTTCAAGCGACCTCTGGTTGTCTAAACTCCTTGGAAGGGGTCCATGTGTCATCGCTTGGGTGTCCAGTGGCACCAATTTGCCATAGGCAACTCAGGCTTTCACGCTGGCCCCGACCTTCTGGCACCTCTCCTGGTTTTGGGGAACATGAAACAAGTCGCAGCCCTTGGAATGATAGCACCGAGTGTTGCTCGGTGGCAGCCAGCCCCAAGTCAACATCGACTCAGCATGACCGGAACCGCAAGGGGCAACAGCAAGCAAAACAGCCCTAGGTCAGTAGTCTAATGGCTGGATACTGTTCCCCCGCGTCCCCGATATTGTTCCCCCGCGTCCCCGCGCAATGAATTTGTGACAACTGGAAATTGCAAACAAACCTCAAATAGAGACTATTAAAAAGATACCCTCAACAAGGGACATGCCCAGCTGAGGCAACTTTCACGACCTGGCCCTAGATGTAGGGGCAAATGTCCGCACCTGTTTCTGGCAGCTGTCCCGTCCCCGGTTTGTCGTCTAGCAGAACCCTCAAACTGGGGGCAATGTCTTTCCCTTCTGGGGTTCATGGGACGGACCCCTTGGAGAGGGGGGTATCACTGGAAGGCTCCTATGTGAGTCGTGGCCACAACCCAAGAGTTGTCGCATTTTTCAATGTTGAAGAATACCAACGTATCCAATGTTGGAGAATGCCAACATATGTTTTGGGAGAATACCAACATATTGTTGGGGGGGGGGGGGGGGCAGCCTGAAATATAGTTTCAGGTCGCCCGTTGTTGATGGTTTGGAGTGGTGGCTTGGGATTTGAACCCTGGGTGTTTGTACCTGAACCACCAAACCACCGATCCAAGCCACCAATTGGAGGGAAGCTGAGAGTTGTGCTGAGACCACCTTGGAAAAGCTCCCCAAAAAGTCAGTCAAGCCGTGCGGTTGCCCTCTTGAGACTGCTTGGAGCAAAGCTCATGAGTGGCAGGGGATCTATCTTCTGCCTGGCTTGTCGCCCAAAGTCTTCGGCGAAAAGCATCGTCCTGAACTGAGAGGCGACCTAAGTTGCCCAACGCCCTCCGCGGACCCTAAACTGAACTCATCTGCATTTGGGTCAACATGAGGGTTGGCACAAGGGCATGCGTGTTTCTTCTAGGACGTGCACCGCCACAGACCGCTTTCGGCCTTAAAGAGACCCGGCCCCTTCGAGATTTTCTAGGCCGTCGGATCTGGGCCCCTGGGCCCCTGGGCCCCCCCCTTTGGATCCCAGGCACTGGAACCCGCAGATCAGGACCGGGAAGGTTGTGCCATGAGGCAAGCAGTGGTGAGAGGCCTGGGATCTAGAAAAGTATGCTAGGTTTTTGGGGGTAGAGTATTGAAAGGCAGAACATATGAGTTTCTGCGTACCCCAAAGTTGAGTCGAGCATGGTGAGGCTGCGACCTTGGGGCCTTTGAAGCCCGACGGGATTTGATCTCACATGTGATTCCGAGGATGGGAGGGCGCCGGAGATGCTCCTTTGCAAAAGCAGACTGCGGCCTTCCATCGGAATCACAGTGGGCAATTCCCACCGACAGCGTTGTTCGTGCCCGCTTTTTTGGATTCCGAACTATGGTTGTGCATTGCATTGCCGGACAATGACGACAGGTCAAAGGCCAATTCATTGTTGCCATTTGTTTGCTTGTTTGATTTGCTTGTTTGGTCTGGTTGGGTTTGGCTTTTCGGCTTATTATTCTTGGAGATGTTCTTCCATCCTTAAGCCTGACAAGCATGAGAAAGAAGCACGAGACATGAAGCACAGTATTGTTTTGCTGGGCGATTCGTGTGTGCGTTTCTTGGGCATATGCCCTGGTGGGTACCAGACTGATCAGCTGTTCTTTGGCTGGCACAGCTTCCTAGGGGCACTCCTCGCAGAAAGCAAACTTAAGCCATTCATGCTCAGCCCTGACCTCCAGAAAGCAGACAGCCGTGGTATGCCCTGGACCAGGGTCCTCGCAACACTCTCCGTGCAACAAGGTCTCGGTTGTTTGTGAGGGTTGGGCCCATGGGCGGTTTCACTTGGTCCCCCACAAAAGAGACACCCAGATGTCTGCTTCCGGGAGACGTGTTAGAGGCCGGGGAGTCCAACTCTGAAAGTTTACCCTCACCAGAACGTCAGGAGCTTCCGGAGCATGCAGGCAAGCCACTGTAAGATTCCAATACAGGCGGGAAAGCCACGTAAAACCCAGAGTTGCAAGAACCACATTTTGCTTCTATGCCAACAGAAAGCACTGCGTTCATGTTTGAACGCAAGCAGCAACCCGACCATCAGCTATGTGCTACACCTCCGTTTGAGTAGAGCTTGACAGTACTGTCAGGTCCTTGTGTTATATTGGGTGTCAAGAACTAGAGTTACGCAGGTTTTAGTCTTCGCTTCCATTTACCCAGGTGCCATTTTGGTACATGTTGTTGAGCCACTGCCATATGTCAACACGGTTGTTCCCCAAGCCTTGCAATTGATACAGCAAGTTGGGAAGATGATGTGCAAGAGGCGTCCTAATTAGGTTTGTTCCAACCATCTTCGTTCACGCCAACCGTTTCGGGAAGCAATCCAGGTCAATTGCAATTTGAATGCGACGGCAGGACGCACATCAACGGCACGCAGCTCGCCAGACTTGCTTGCGTCGGTCGAAGAAATGGCTTGGTTTCCTTGTTCCCTTGTCGTTCTAAGAATAGGGGCTAAATATGTGCATACATTATCCTATGGCTTAACTTGGTTAATAAGCTATAGTAGTTTTCTAGGGGCACATTCCCCATTCTTTCCTGGCATCCTTCTTTCTAAAAAACCACCCAACACCCCGGGGCAAGAGCTGGTTTTCGAAAGGAACGATGGTTGAAAAGAATGGGGAATCCACCCCTAGAATCTAGAGGTTTAGTAGTTTTCAACCATTCAGGCTTCCGTTTTGTTTTTGTGTTTTTGTTTTCTGGAGCACTGCCCAACAGCCAAAGGGCGGAGTGTTTCAAAGAACCATGGGCTGTAAAGACGGTTGCGGGCCGTCAGTCGGTGTTGGGAAACATGAAATACTCAGAACGAGTGAGGGCTGTCCTTTGTTGGAAACACCTTCCTGTTGCCGCGGGTGCATGAGACGAACTCCACTTATTGTTGCAGTGGAATAATGTGCGAATTAGAGTTCTGATTGTACGTATCATTGCCTCCCATGGTGGGCAAAACGAGCATTGCGGAACATCACAGGCAAACTGCACTGATTGTGCCTGTTCGTATCCCGCCATTGGAATGCTACAATGCACAATAGATATGCTAGGGAATCTCTGGAACGCATTTTGCATGGTTTGCCAAATGAGGACCAAAATCAAGAGACGTTGCTTGGCTGGCAGGGCAGATGCTGAGGTTATAATGTGTATATATATATATGTATACATTGGTGCATGTTGCTTGAATGTTCGGACTTTAGCTTTTTGCCAACGAAGTGGTTTTCCATTAAACCACTAAAAGTTCAACCTTTAGCAGGGGAGCAGAAAGCAACCGAGTATATTATATATATATATATGTAGTTGTACGCACATATTTGGTTGCAACTTTTTGGTGTAGCAGGACTTGGCCGGATTTTCCTTGAGGATGGCTGGGGACTTATCTGTAGAGGACTAAGACAGCAGCAGAGCTCCTTCTCTGCGTCTTTGCACATTTGCATAAGTTTGATTCAACTTGTCTCCTTCACACATGTATATTGATTGGACAAGAACTCCTTGGCGAAGGTGACGAAAAAGGAAACCATCCCACTGTCACAACACATAGTTTCATGTAAGCGTTTAGTCACGTTGATGTTGTGGAAAGGTGGATATCCCCTCCCCCATTTGAGATTGAACGCCAAGAAACCGATTGAGAGGTTCCTGACACCAGGTCAAGTGCTGCTTCACTGGATGAGGATGAGGATGATGTGTTTTTGTTCTGTTCAAAGGAAATCCAGCTTCAGACCTCAAACACACCGGTTTATTTGCATTTGCTCCAAGAGGTTTTGTGAGTTCTCCAAAGGCGTGTGTGACAGCAGGAAACCTGTCCAGAGAGTAATTTCTTCTCTTCACCCTTCCTGATTGCTGATGTTCGCGCAACCACACCTGCTATATGGCGGAGGAACTAGTCACATCCCATTCTCCACTCCACCCTTTGTTTTGCGCCCAGGGCGACCGAAAAAGACCCACCATCCACTGCCTATTCGACGGTTCTAAGTTTTCGCCAGGGCGCCAAGGGCGCCCAACGCCCCAAGAACCATCTCTATGAAATAGATAATTAGACACATCGCCGAGATGTTTCTTGCCTTTGCCCCACGTCTCCGTGGGTATTTTTTGGGGGGTGTTTCTTTGGCGCCCAGGGCCCGGCATGGTTGTTCTTGGGAAGCATTTGTGGTGGAGTGGTTGAACTCCAGCCACGCGGCTGCGAAAATTTGAGGAATTTTCGGCTCCCCGAACGTCCCACCGGGCCGCTTGCTCGGCTTCGGAGGCTCTACTCCCTGCTCTCGGTGCCCAGCTTCCGCGAGAACGCCAAGGCCTCGGGCCTCGAGGCCACGCTGCGCTCCATCCACGCCCAGGCGGCCGACTCGGCCGACTCGGCGGGTGGGTTGGGCGTGTGAAGCAAGGCGTCAGTGCTCAGGTGCCCAGTGGCGCCTGTTTTTTGCTGGTTCCACTTGTTTGGGGGTAAGGGTTCCCTTTAAACTCAGCCAACAAAGAAGGGTGCCTGTTTTTTGTTTTAATTGTTTTCCCCCATGGCCACTGAGCATCAGAGAGTTGGGCATGTCTTACAAGTGAAACAAAGTCCAAGGCTGCTTGGTGGTTCATTGGCTTTGATTGTGGTGTTGCTTTCAAGGTGGTCCTTCTGTTTTGGCCTTTTGGCTTCCTTGTTGGTGTTCCTTGAAGCTGAGTCGGAGTCAGAATGGGGTGGGTGAGGTGAAAACCAAGGCTTGGGTACCTTTAAAGGGAAACCCAAGGAAAAAGAACAAAGAAGCTCGGTTGGAACAAAAAAGGCTGAGTACCTGTAATGACACCCCAAAAAGAGGGTTGTTACAGCCAGGACCCCTATAAAGGAGGTGTCGAGCGCATGGTTTTGGTTGTGGTTGGTGAAATCGGGGTACAGATCCCTGGTGATGGGGTCATAGACCTGGGGTTTACTGCTTTTTGCTGGAATATTGACTACCCAGGAATCTCTTTCGCATATCCGTTTCGGGGAATTCGGAATCAACCACTAGGTACAAGTACAAGTTCAATCAAGCAGCTCGTTTGGTCTACTCCAGTTCTGCGGGCGAGCCGGCTTTACCCCAAAACCAAACCATTCGGCGGGTGTTTTGGTCTTGGCAACGCCCAAGGTATGACCACCCGGGGATTGGTTCCAATTGCGAAAAAACGAGTCATTGGGTTTGGGCCTTCGGTTGAAACATCGTAGGAGTCTGAGGTGGGTTTGTTTCATGCTGGAACCCTTTCAGGTTTCCTCTCCTTTTTGTTTTTCGATTTGAGTGAGTTTTTTGGTGAGGGTTAAGTTTAAGGGCAACTCTAGGTGGAACTTGTGTTAGAAACAAGGATCTTGCTGGTCAGTCCTACGTCCTGGTCCGTTCGAGTGAAGCTGTCATTTCTTGAGCACCGCGCAAACATCCACAAATCCTGGCCCATGTTTCAAGATGCTGGGACAATTCCAACAGCGAGACCAAACAAATGGACAAAAAGTACCAAAGAAACGATCCAAACACACAAAGAACCGCAACTAAAAGTGCAAAAGGATCAAGCACAAATCGAGAGACACTCGAACACAAACAAAAAAGCGCAGCAAAGAATTGACCAGTTTCAGAGCGGTCATGTGTTGACACCCTTGTGGCGACGAGGGTTTTTACATTCCTAGGCTTAACTAAAAGGTTTCATTGCCCTTTTGCCAGATTAGGTCTCCTTCATGCTTGCCTTAACCTGCAAAAAGTCAAGTTTTTGTATTGGGTCTCTAAGTCGACAACTAAGGATTTGGACCCCAAATAGATTTGATGTTCCTTTTTTGTTCCCCTTGAAACCACCTTAACGCCGGATCCCCTCAAGCATCACGCCCATGTACCTGGGACACCACAAAAACCTCCGTTGCCTTGCCGAGAAAAAGCGGAAGTGCAGGATCAACAAGTTCCATTGAACCCGCAGACCTGGGGTGTCTTTCTTTGAGGCTACCTTTTTGAGAGCTGCTTTAAGTGGAAGCCGGAAAAGAGCGAAGCCATGGGGGGTCCAGCCCGCCAAAAGGAAAATACCCACATCAACCCAAACACAGCTGGGGTAGACTTGGGATACATTTTACATGTTGCCAGTGACTCAAAGCAAGCACTAAAATATACATTTTCTATAACTGGGCCTCACTCTCATCACGACAGCAGCATAAGTCCCCCCGTCTTATTCGGTGCCGTGTTTCCAGGCCGATGCGTCCGTTCCGATTGGTTCGCAGGCCAGCGGCGTGGGGGATGAGATCTCGGTGCGCCAGCGCCGCGCCGAGCTTTTGTTGGCGCGTGGAACTGTTTTTTGCTCCGGATAGGCGACCTGGCTGTGGGTCAAAACCGTGTTGGGATCCCATGTTGGGGTAGGTGCACCACCCACTTTAGTCTATTTTAGTGGGGATTGGGATGTTCAGTGGGGGGGTTTTGACCCCTGGCCACTTGACTGAGGTTTCCTTGTTTGTAAAAGGAGGGGGCTTGAGTTGAAAAGCAGGGCTTCCTCAGTTCCTTCTTTTTGTCCGAACCTATTTAAAGTGTCTGGGTTTTGTATTTGGCTTAGCGCCATTCTTTGGGTAAAGAAAGTGATTGTTGCAACCCCGAAAAAATGCGCCATCTACTTCCACATAGAGAGCTTTCCAGCTTCAAGGGGTTGGAAGGGGGTTCCCTTCAAAATCAAGCACCAACAAAAAGGTGCTTTTCATTCTCCAAGGCAAATTGCAACTTGGAGTTTGTGTGGAGATTGTATTGTTGCGGCATGAGCGGGCAATATTTGTTCCAACAACCTAACCCCCGACCCCTTCTTGTTTAAATCATATTGGCTACATGTTCAAGCAGGGGGTGGCCCAACCTTGCTTAGGGCATGGTTGGTGCCCTTTGCAAAGAGTGTCCGTTCGTTCGTCTTGTTTTGCGATCTTGATCCGGGTGTTCAATCCGGCCACCATTGACCATCTGTATTCGTCACATAGAGTTAGGCTTGCAGAGCTGGCCTTCTCCGGTCAGTCTTCCTTTGCATTGCGGGGACAACTCTATCAATGACCTTCATGACCTAGACTGGTGCTTGGCCGGCTTTGGACGCATGTCCGCAGTTGTTCTAAGATGGTTTCCAACTGAAACCACCAACCAATTAGCCCCCCATCGAGAATCGGGAGTACAACACTCACGTAGTGGCTTTCGTCAAATGCATTGAATCCGGGGTGGCTGTTTCGGGTTAGAGGAAGCCATCTCCGAGTTGGAGACACCCTGTGCAGGAGAGGCTGTAGAGTCAATCAGATATGCCTTGACAGAGGCGGTTCTGCATAAACACCTGTTTTCACATTTTGGGTCCAAACGGGCTTAAAACCCCGGACAACCCCCCGGACAAACCCCCGGACAACCCTCCGGACAGCTTTGAGGGCACAAAATCGGCGGGACAACTCCCCGGACAAACCCCCGGACAACCCTCCGGACAGCTTTGAGGGCCCAAAAGCCCGGGACAAACCCCCGGACAAACCCCCGGACAACCCTCCGGACAGCTTCGAGGGCCCAAAAGCTCGGCACAAACCCCCGGACAAACCCCCGGACAACCCTCCGGACAGCTTTGAGGGCCCAAGAACCCGGGACAAACCCCCGGACAAGTCTTCGGACAGGTTTGGAACACGCCAAAACCACTCGGAAACCACTCGGACACCACTCGGAAACCACTCGGAAACCACTCGGAAACCACTCGGAAACCGCTCGGAAACCACTCGGAGGAAAGTGTTCTCGCGGGAGGTGGGGTTTGCAGCATAAACCTCGGCAAAGCGCGCGGACAACCCTCCGGACAACCTTCCTGACAACCCCCCGGACAACTTGCCGGACAGTTGTTTGTCCAGCAGTTTGTCCCGCACTTTGTCCGGCACTTTGTCCCGAACTTTGTCCCGCACTCTGTCCCGCATATCGAGGGGGTGTTTATGCAGAAGGGCATTCGTCAAGATATGCCACTTGTGTCGATTCAGTGATGCGGCGGTCGGGGTCGAACTTCCGACTCCAACAAACAGTCACCCCCCAGTAATGTTGCCCCCATATTAATCAACCCCAGTTGATTCATAAGGGGATGCACCTGAAATAGTGGGCAATCGCTACTTTTGGAGGGGAACACCTATTAATAAGCCGGGGTTGATTCAGATGGCAAATTCTCCAAGAAGCAGCCGTCGGAGGGTGCTTCTTTCCCTGAGGATTGAGTATTTGCTGGAGCAGCTGAACCCTGAGGACTTCTTTTTTTTGAGTCGCGCTGGTCGGATTCGCCGGATATTGGACCTGCACAAATTAAGCAACGGGCCCAGGGATACAACGAGCACGCCAAGGTCCTTTAGTACGGTTAACCCCTCATGTCCAGCTTCTAAATCATGATTTGCGGGCTGGGGTTTCCATCTTGTAAGCTACAATGGTTACAATCTTGGGTTTACCTTTTCGACTTCTCACAGGTCATGTTGCGCATCACCCGGCACTTCCATGGAACTTCGCAGGCCTGTTTCAGGCAAAACTCGACGAGTGGCTCGGAGGCCACGTAAGCAGCAGTCACGGGCTTCACACCAAATTGGACGTGTTGGTACCTGATTCCACCTGCCGGTCAAATAGGGATTGACAGTAGACCGCATTAGGCCTATGTGTTGTGAAAACAGGGGGCTGGTTGAGTGTGGCTCTGAGGTTGTTTGACTTCAGCTGTTGAATATAGGGAGGGTGTCGAGGTGGCGGTTTTTTCTTAGGCCCTTGGTGTCCGCCCGGCTCGGGTGTTTTTTTGGAGTTGTTGCGTCACAGCCCTCACTCGCCTATGAGCAGAGTCTTTCTGAAAGGCCAAAGCGATCAAAAGCGCGGCTTGTTTTTGTTTTGTGTCCAGTGGAGCTTGGCGCTCTGTCGCCCCAGCTAAACCGTCAAGACCTCCCAAGTCCATCGCAACCTGCCCAAGCTCCAAGCGTCGCCAAACGCTAAGTTCTTACCCCCAGTTAACCCTCGGAAAGATGTAGGGTTACCAAGCAATCCGGAAAGGCCCCATACCAGGTAAACTTTGAACATCTCCAAACCTCCCATCGCCTCAACCTCACCTCCCGACCGTCAGCTATCTCGCATCTCACCCGCCATCTCCAAGCCTTCCATGTTCCAAGCTTCCCAACTTCAAACCAACTGAGAGTTGTTTTGGTTGTAAAGCTGCGGAACTTAAACTAGAATGGACGAAACGATTCACGACTCACAAATCTCTCGTCCCCAGCCCACCCTTTTGGCACCTCCCGCGCAGAGCTTGTCCTCCCAGTTCTGCAGGCCCCGCCCTCCGACGGCGAGAGCGGGGAGGACGACGAGGACGACGACGAGAACTTTCTCGAGGAGCGGCGAGTCGCGGGAAGAGATGTGGAGAGAAGTCGGTGGTTTCCCTATTCCAAGTCAGGAGGGACTGGCTCTAGAAGACATGGGTGGAAATGTGGGGACCCTCTGGTGGACGTCCTTTGGGGGGGGGGGTTATGTGGTTAAGCTTGGGGTCTTTGCCCGAATCAGACACGGAGTTGTTTTTAGCGGCTGCGGGCGTTGCTGGCTACCGGAAGGGTGCAATGTTGCGGATGGCGCCGGGGGTTTCTTTGCAAGGGGCCAGACTGCTTACGTAGTAGTTTGCTCCAAAACTCATGACTACCTGGAGTCTCCATGACCCTTTAAAAATGGGTCCATGACCCTGGATTTTGAGTAATGACCCCATTTTTAAAGGGTCTGGAGACTCCAGGTAGATTTGGTTACCCACGACCCCGGTCGACAACCATTCCGCAGCCGGAGTTGTTGGCTGGAAAATGGGCTCGCCGGGTTTTGGGAATGAGAGGGTTGGTCCAGCCAGCTATTGGACACTTGTGAATTAAGCAAATCTACTGGCTTTTTGTTGGATGGCTGCGCTCCTTTGTTTTAAAGTTGCTAAGGAACCATTGGGGCTGCGAACAGTTCCAAGCAAATTAATCCAAACCGATTGAGGGTGATATAAAGGAAAGATAGCTTCGGGGGTGAACTGATGTTCCCTTTTTCTGGAGCTTGGCGCTACTACTACTCAGTGAACCTCGATCAGAGAGGATTCCTAGCAGTCTAGCATTCAAGACTGCACAATCATCGGCTGACATTTGTTGGTTCCAAAAAGAAGCCAATATAATATTTTGCACAGTGAACTGTCCGTCGACAGTTCCTCCAAAAGGTATGGGTTGTTGCGCGTTTGGGGGCAAGACCCACTCAGTCTCGCTTGCAAGTAGGGTTGCTCTGAGCCTGAGAGCAGCGGCCAAACCGAAGTGAGGAACCCTCCCAGCGCTCCAACTCGCGCGAAGGTGTCAGATGATTTTCCGCAGAGCATTTTCATCTCTGGACCCCGGCTGCTTCGTGATCTCAGCATTCAAGACGGCGACCTTTTTCATAGGCGATCCCTGGCATCTCGCCGCCGCCTTTCTCTAGACTTGTCGCAGGCCATGAGGCTGGAGAAAAAGGTCGTCCAGGTTGAACCTGGATCACGCTTCTGCGCAGAACCGCCTGGAACACCCGGTGAAGAGGTAGAATTTGACCGTTTTTTTTTGAGTTGCCCTGTTTCAGGGGTGCCATCTTTCTACCTTGTTTTTCTTTTTGGTTGGGATTTCAGAGCAACACTGGGGGTCCTCAAAGCTTTTGCTGTTTTTAGAACCACCCATTTGAAGGGCAATGTTCAGAGCGTCCCTTCAATCAACCTGTTGTTTTGCTTGGGGTTTAAGGGACAAATACACTGTGCTTTTCAGGCGAGCCACTATACTAGGCAACCATATTCTGTGTTTATTTCTAGCCTTTACATGGTGATTGTCTGGACTGGAAGCAATTGGTGACACAAAGAACGGGTTGCTGTTTCTGGGAGTGGCTAGGTGTATGGGTGCTATGACCATGTGCATTCGAGACCTCTCCTATATCAGCTTTCAACTTTCAGGCCTGATCCGGGAATGTCCTAATGAAGCATGTTGATTCGTGTTCTCGATAACTTTGCAACTGGCAAACAAAAAGGACACCGACCATGAGGGGTCGGCGCACAACTTCAGGGGGAAAAGTCACATTTTCCGTAGCCTCACCTCCCCACCCCCCGTCCCCCCCCCCCGCGCTCTCCTGGAGGAAGCTCATTCAAGATGTGTGAAACAACGGGGAGAGACCGCCATGTGGTCTGTCATTTTTTGTTTTTGGACAACTCGAGTTACATTTTTGCATTTGGCCTGCTTTTTGCGGCTTGGTTGCAAACACGCAGGCCCCATAAGGCCCGCTGCATGTATCAGTACGCAACCCCACACACCACCCGCCAAGACTCCTCAGAACGTTTCCTGGCAACTGTCAAGTCAGGCCATTTTGACAAACCTTCTCGGTTGGCTGGTCTTCAGTGAGTGCGGCACCTGAACTTGGTTCTTCCTTCAGGCCAACTCGAATTGGTGTGTCTCAACCCTTGCATTCGCCATGAAAACGGCGGCATCGAACTCCTTTTGAAGGCCGGAACCCAAATATAATGGGCGCTTGTGAATGGAGCCTTTTGTGCCACTTGCGTACCCCAGTATTTCTATCAATTGCATACAATATGCATTTGGTGCGATTCTATTTAATGTTCATAGTCAATTGATTTTGATGGTAAATGTATTGTTGGAAATGGATACATTGCACCTTCTACATTTTGACAATCAATACATTTTGTTTTGATTTAGTGATTTTGATAATAGATCTGCTCTCCTTTTTAATGATTCATACTGATTATCACATTCTTGTTTATATAAATTATAGATACACGCCGGCCGTTGGGCGATCCGCAGGAGGAGGAGCTCGCAGGGCTGCTGCTGGGGGATCGCAGCGACCACTCTGCCGAGGCCGGCTCCTTGCCGCGTCGCCGGGGCCCGCGTCCGCCCGAAGAAGATGGCCGCCGGCGGCGGGTTTTCATGGGGTTGAAATGTGTTTCTTCTTCTTTTTTTCGCCTTTTCGTGTCCCTTTACCCGTCCCAAGACATGTATCCTCAAAATGAGACACCTACATGGTTGGAGACGTTCCTACCTTCAGGGTCGGCCTTTCTTTCTTTTTGGAGTGAGCGGTTCCGCCGATCCGGGTATTAATTCGTATTGGGTCCTTCGTTGGGTCCTTCGTTGTTCTCCAGGAAATACTACAACCCCGCGCGTCCATGGCTAATTTCCTCGTGTTGTGGCACGGGGCCTAGTACCAGGGCAGCGAGGGGTTGTATTATTCAACTACATGACCTGCCATCTGACGACGACCTCTTCAAGCCGCTTCTTAGCGCTGAGCCTGAGATCAACAGGGTGACCGGAGACACCGTCAGCAGCTTCGTTGAAGCCATTACTGGGACCCAGCATCCCACGTCCAAGGGGGTGGCTGCCTTCGCGCCTTTTACCGCAGGGATCTTTTCTTCCGGAGGGCCCGAGCAAAACAATGCTCAGGATGCTCAATCGCCCCGGCAGCACCCAGCGAACAGACAGGACTGCTAGATCCGTCGTGCAAGGAGCTGAGGAAGTTGACACTGCAGCGGGCGTCGTTGCGCCTGGCTCAGTGACAGCAACTTCAGCGCCAAGCACACTGGCAGCCAGCCTCGCAGCACCCGGCACTCCTGTGGCCGCCGCCGGCCAGTCAGAAGCCATGGGGCCGCCTGCTCCGCAAGAAGCAAGCAGTTGCGCCCGTTTCAGAAATTGTCGTGGCACCTTCCACGGCCACCTCAGCGCGGCCAGCGAATGGCCAAGGCTTGTGAGAGGCCTATTTGCGTGCCTAGATTCCGTTTGTTGGGAAAACGTCTTCTCGCTGTGGCAGTCGCCGCACAGCGCCTGCAAAGTTTGCGAGCTGCCCGCAGGGCGACCTCGTGGACACGACGGGCACTGCTACATGTACAAGGCCTGCAGGAGTGCAGCCGGGGCTGTTCTGGTGCGGAGCGGAAATTATGACACTGCAAGGACACTGTGACAAACAGGAGTGTCGGACCTTGCAGATGTGATGTATATGGCGATCTGGATCTGCCGCCAGGCACAATCTCGGCCTTCTTCCGGGGCAAGGGCCCTCTTGGTGACAAATACCAAGGCCAGCATACCTCACTTGTCAAGCCGAAGTTGAATTATACGGACTTCCGCTGGACGGAATCCGTGCGGTCCTGGAATTTGATGGCCAGGTCAGCCAGGTCAACGCCCTTGGCAGCTGCCTCGAACGCATGGCGCGCAAGAGGCTTGCGACCTTCGACGCGCAAGACCCAGCGCCTTCCGCCGATCGGCCGATAGGCTTCCGGGTCTCTGCTTGCCAGACTGCCGCTGTCTCAGGAGCCATCAACTCTGGGTACGACCTTAAGGTCATGGACCCACGTCCTAGGCATACTGCGTACGCAGACGCAGTAGTTCTATGGGCTCTTCTTGCCATGGTGTTTGCATTCACATCGTGCGTCCCATGTGTCAACACTATGCACACAAAAGCACATGCCGGCCACCCATGGAATGAGTGTGCTGATTGCATTGCCGTGGCAGCACGTCAAATGCGGATCCCAGAGTTGCAACTCCCTGTCGGCCTACGCAACGGAATTTTCCAGCAGCCGAGAGCGTCGCAATGGATGTGGCTAGCTGGTGAGTTGAACGCTGCGTACCCAGACTTGAGCAAAGGTGTCTTGCAGGCCACAAAGCCTACAGCGCCTAGTGCCGCATCAGCCAAATCGCACGCATACGCAAAAGCCGAGAGCAAACGTGCGCTGAAGGTGGAGCAACAGGCAGTGCAGAAAGTCCACCTCAAGCTTGCCACGGCAAACGTGCTAACTTTGCACCCGGCGAAGAAAGCCAGAAGAAGACTCAAAGAACTTGGGCTTGGCCTGAACACAGCTGCCAGAACTGAAATATTGCAGAGGCAGTGGCATGAGCATAAGTTCTGTGTGATAGGCATGCAAGAAACGCGTTCTAAGTTTTCTGGTGTTCTGATGCACGTTACTGCACCCGCACCAGCAGCTGACGGCAGGGGCGGGGTAGCCATTTGGCTATCCAAGAAGCACAGCCATGGCAAGGACCAAACTGATTGCTACTTCCAGAGAGGATGTTGCCATTACCGCACAGAGTGAGCAGCTTCTCGCGCTGAGGTGCAATATTGTGGCATGCGGGCGCCAACGAACAAAGCAAATGCTGAAGCCTGCTCAGTGTTCTGAAGTGATTTTTTTGAGCGTTCGGAAGTGATGGAAGTGGCAGCGTTCAGAAGTGATTTTTTCCAGCGTTCGGAAGTGATTGTCTACCGCAGCAGGCCAAGGTAGTTGACAAGCTAAATGAAACAGGGCAAGGTTTCAAGCTTGGAGTGGCCCATGCTGTCGAAGAGTGGACCAATGTCTTTCACGAGGTTCTCTACCCTGCGCACAGGAACAGTTGCGCACACCCGTAAGGGCACGCGACCTGGAGCGCCATGGGGGATATCCTTTTTGACGCTGTTTTCCTGTCAGCCCTGGAAGATATTCAGTTTGCGCGGGCTGAACATGGCCTCGTGTTGAGTCTGAGGTCCTCAAAATGCCGAGAATTCCGGCAGCGCCTACACATCGAGAGAAAATCCTTGATAGCTGTGACAAGCCCAGAGGGTGGGCAGGAGATTTGAAAGCCAGCGCGGCCTACAAGCATCTTGGGAGTATGATCTCCGTAGAGGGCTCCCTTACGCCCAAGATTAAGTATAGGGCGGGGCAAGTATGTGGTGCTTTGAGAGACTTGCAGCAAAATTTTGTTGCAACAAGCGCATCACCGTAGAGGCCAAAATCAAAATTGCCGAAGCAGTTGCGCTAAGCAGGCTCTTGTACAACGCAGGTATGTGGCACCATCCGAGCAAACAGGATCTCAGCAAGCTAGCCACTGTGCACACCCAGCTATACCGAGGCGTGCGGACTGCGTGAAACAAAGAACGCCGACACACGTGTTTCCAATATCAAGCGTGTAGGCCTGAAGCAGAGACGCCGCAGTATTTCGCGCAAGCGCGTAGAGCTGCTCCGCCTGTGCTGTGGCGTCTGCTTGATGAGGAAAATAAGTTAGTCGCCAACTCCTGGCTTTCGCAGCTTTGGCAAGATGTGCTGTGGTTGAAAGATCGTACGCCCAATTTTTTTTCAGCAGACGCCAATCAGCACGCTTGCAAGCCTAGCTGAGCTTGTGCGCGACAAGCCTGCTGCGTGGAAAGTTTGTGGCAAAGGCGACACTGAAGGAGGCGATGCATTTCCGCAATATGAGTGAAGTCACTGAAATGCAAGGCTGGTTTGCACGTCTTTTGCTTCAAGCTGGGTGTGAGCTCAACATGCCAGTGCACCCTGGCGCGCCAGAAGACGACTTCAAATGCAACGAACGCGGGGCAATGTTTGCTACCCGAAGGCAAGTTTCTGCACATGTGACTTTCAAGCACCGCCAAAGGGTTGAGGCCAACGGCTTCATTCATGACACAACATGTCAGTGGTGCCTAAAGAAGTTTGCATCCACTCACCGTCTCCTCAAGCATTTGCTAGGCCAAAAGTTGAGTGACTCCGAGATGCCCCTAATTTGGAACAGGGAGCCTTATAAAGGAGTTCTTTTAAAGAGCTGTAACAGGAGCTGCACAAGGAGCCCCACAAGCAGCTTTTCAAGGAGTATAAGGAGCTTTATAAAAAAGCTTTAACATGCGCATGATAAGCTGTCTACGGACCGTTATATGCAGCTTTGCAATGACCATCGCAAAGAGCTTCATCATGAGCCTTAAAGGAGCTGCACAAGCATCTGTGCAAGAAAGTGTACAAGGAGCTTCCAGGAGCCACAGCTTTGAGCCGTATAACGAGTGTGAAAAGGAGCTGAGCCTTCACTGAGGAGCCTTCCAAAAAGCTGCATGAGGAGCTTGAAACACAACTCGGGAGAACAATCCAGAGGCGTTTTTGCAAAATGGGTTTGGTCTTGGTGGGTTTTGCCTGTGTTCTGTTGTTTGGTTTTCCCTGAGTTGTGTTCAGATCTATCCCTTTAACAAAAAAGCACAATAACCAGGGTCCTCATGAAGAAGGGCCCCAAACCAGAAAAACCAAGCCCAAACCAGAACCAAAAAAACAAAAACAAAACAGGGCCTAAGAGACAGATGATGGCCTTTCTTCATGAGAGCCCTGGTTTTTTTGTTTTTCTGCTGGTTTGGGGCCCTTCTTCCAGAAGCTTTTTTTCTCTTCCAGAAGACCCTGTTTTTCCTTCGATTTTTCAGCTCTTCCTAGTGCAACATGGCGCCGGGCATGAAGAGTGGCCATCAACAGCCTGACAGCCAACAGCCCAACAACACAACAGCATCCAACTTGAAACCCATGGCTTGGTTTCAAACGCAGAAAGCCCGTTTCCCTTTAAGCCGCAAAGTGGCCGGATCGGAATTCTTCGAGCGCGTGCTCGCAGGAAGCGCTGCGGCCCTTCGCTGCCTCCGCAGCGGTGCTGGAGGCGCGGTTGGACCGAAGGATGAAGACGTGCCCAAAACGGACACACGTACACACACACACACAACTGGGGGTGCAGGTGTTCTTTTTGTGAGAGCCACTTGGTTTGTTTCTTTTCTGTTTGAGGTGGCTTGGGCAGAAAACCAGAGAGGGAAGCCTGTATGAGCAGCCGGAAGGACCCCCGAGTCATCACTAACACGTTTAAGGTCTTTTTTCCAGTGAAAGTTCCACGGCCAATTCGTCAAACATACCCGAAATTCAGGGGCGTGTAACTGCTTTCTCTTAAAAATCACTGTGGCTGGTTTCTTAGCAGCTTTCATGATCTGGGAGTTCTCCCAGTGGCTTGAAGGTGAGGGTTAAAGCCCCTTGAAACCCACCTTGAGGGTTAAAAACCCTTGACATTAACGTGGACCTTGAGTGGCCCAAAAGGCAGTTCCCCCTTTTTTCGCGTGAGGTCCTCCCATCGGTCGCTACCAGCGAACCCGAGAAATTTCGGGGGAGCCCCAGGCGCAGCAGCGGGAGTTCCAGCGCCTGGTAGGCAACGCGTAGGTCAGGGCAAAGCCCCACGGCCGGTTGGAGGGGGCTTAGTTCACCCCCTATTTTGTTCAACCCCAGTTTATGAGTAGGGGGGGTGTTGCTGGGTGCAGTGGGTTTCACACTTAGGGAACATCCCTCTATTAAATTAAGCCTCATTTTGGAAACAAGACGTCAACGAAGAGCTTTATTATGCGCTGATGTTCCCTTAAGGGTACCATGAAAAAAAGATCGACAGGGTTGAACTCGTTTCCCTTTGCTTGGTTGTCCCTTGTCAACACCTCACAGGGTATCACGCAAGTCAAACAGCGCGGACACATGGTAGCATAGAGGAAAATTCCCCGTCAGATCCATTGCCACCCCTCCCCGGCCACTAGTTAATGTCTGGCCCCGTGCGACCGAAAGCGACGAATCGTGTCGCGAGTGAGCACAGTGGGGCCGTTTTAGTCGGTGAGGAGACAGGCGCGCAGCGCAAAACTGCCAGAGCTACGGCAAACTTCCCAAACGTGGCAAGCGTTATGTGGTTTGCTTGCATATGTTTTCTCCTACAGACAAGTCCGAAGTTGACATTTGGGAACAGGTTGATCGGAGATGTCTATTCTTTTCTTCGGAGGTCTGGGCGGCGTTTACCAACTCCTTTTGCCCTAGGCTATTTTTGTAGGGGCACCCTCCCCCAAAAAAGGGGTGAGAAAGGGCACTACTGGGGGACCTAGGAAATACAACCAAACAGGGGCGACCAACTAGGGAACTTGCATTGTTGGTGTATCAAGGGTGGCTTTTGCTTATGCGGTGCAAGCAGCATCCCTTTACCAAATGAGCCATGGGCATGCCATCACCAGTGATTAACGGGAACAGGGCGCCCTTTATGCACACCCTTGACGCTCTCCGTTGGATTGAAATCTCATGGCAGTTTTGGGCAGTTTTGGGCTGCTTTGTGTTTCGATCCCGTGTGTTTTCAGGGTACGTTTGGAACGATGCAAACTCTCGCGATGACCCAATTGCAAGGCTTCGACAATTTGAGGCCCAAAATGGCCCTCTCCGAACTTGGTGGTTGGTTCAGCTGTGCGTGAGCTTTTCAAAGTATGCTTCTGTCCTGGGTATGCAAGGATCTTTCCTGGAAAGCTCATTTGCTTGCTGACTTGTGAACCTTGGTGCAATCAAATGGGTGAATCTCGAATAAATCCTAGTAGAATGCAGCGAACCCCTAGGTATCGTCCCGACATGACACGGTGTTTTTGGCTTCGGCCTTTTTGGGGCCAACATGCACTAAATTGAGGTGGCTTTATATGTGCATATATACTTTCGTACATTTTGCCAAGGGCTGTTAGGACTTTAACTTTTTGCCAACTAGTGGGTTTTCCACTAAACCACTAAAAGTTAAACTTTTAGCAGGGGAGCAGAAAGCAACCGAGTATATATATATATAGCTACTATTTCTACCTGGGATTCTACCTCTGGAGACTTGCATGAAGGGACTGGCCGACTCGGCCGAGCAAGCACATGTCCTTTAGTGGGTTGGGGATTGATCCATGGTTTAGTGAGAACGCAGCAAACAAACCAGGATCCACTGAACAAACACGGAGAAGGGTGCGTATGGTCAAAAGGCCGCAGAGTCTTGCTCTTGGAATTCGAGTCGCGCCTGGATCTGCTGTAGTATGCCCTTATTGAAAACCACTTTGGGTACAAAGTTGCCTTTGACCACTGGGAGGTCCCTCACCAAACAAATCCCACAGACAAAGCCCATGACCGCGGCCACCAGTGATGGGATGGTCCGGGGGGTGGGGGATGGGGCCAGGGGCTTTGCAGCTTCCAAGCCAAGTTCGCTTCGAACCCATTGGCTCGAGTACAGATACCACAAGCCGACCATGCAATTTGACACGCGCCGTTCTATGGAGCGCGGTCGATCAGCAGTGCCGAGCTTAGAGCCACAATTGCGAGGCAGGGTCCAAGGCTCAGGTCTCAAACTAAAAATTATGTGTCTTGGTGGATGAAATATGATGCCGAATCTGAATATATCACTTTTGGTGTGATTACAGGGCCAAGGGTTCAGAACTTCCCCCCAAAGCGGTGTCCAAGCTTCAGATGGCTCACCAGCCATCGGCCACTGCCCTCACCCACACCCTTGTCTGCAGATTGTTTTTCAGGGGCCCCGTGTGGGCCAAACTTATACTAGGTTGCCCAGTAGTGCCCTATTACCCTTTTTTGGGGCGGATTTCCCTACTAAAATAGACTATAGCTAAAAAGGGTACCCTTATTCTAACCTCTCTACTGGAGGACCTAGTATATTTCCAGAGGCAACTCACAGGTTCCAGCTGGATGCCTGTTGGTCTTATTCTCTGGAACTGGGGGGGGGGGTGTTTTTGAGTCGGTTGAAAGGGAAGCCACGGGGAATCGCATTCTATTTGACTCACATCCATGTTGGGTAGTTTCCCAAAAGGATTCAACCCATATGCCAAGGCAATCGGATGCCGGACGTTGGCCGATATACTCACCGGTACGTGCGGGAAGTATGAATCATGTGTCCCTTTAAAATCCGAGTGCTTCCACTTACCATCGGCAGCCGGTTGCGTTTGTACCAGATATCGCCATGCGGTGTGGTTCCTTTGCGGTGCTTGCGCTTGGAAGCTTTGCGCGCCCAAAGCCAACAAGTCCCGGCGAGAGCCTGTGTGAGGGTCCGTGTTTCAAATGAGCAAGGGGGTCAATACAATATTTCCCCGTCATTTGCTGTCAAGTCGCATGGGTCAGTTGGGCACAATCAATAGCATGTGGCTGAAACGTAAATCACAACGGGGACCGCTGCAGGTTGGGCTTTAGATGAGCAAGCCTTTTCGAGTTGTTCGACATGTCGCAAGGTGTTTCTTGGGCTGCATTTTGACAGTTGGCCAGGGGCCAGTTGTGTCGTGGCTGGTGGGATACCAATCCCTCCTTGGCCCCCTGTATGTTCAGACCTGTCGTTCCGGAAGGGCCAAAGAGCCGCTGAACGTAGACGGCAGTGAGGGGTCGGCTTCCTGCCCTATTTGTGCTCATGTGCAAGCATGGCAGCTGGCGCCGCCCGGGTGTCTGCAGTGCAGGAGCTGATCAGTGTGCAATGGGGAAACGACTTCAAACCAAGACATCGTTCCGTAGTGCCAGGTGAGTTTCCTGCTGTGGACAACTTGATAATCAGCTTTTTATGGTTAACATTTTGGCAACAGTCCTTGCACAGCAGGCTCCAAGTCCGCGCAGTGCGCTTGCCTGTGGCCAGCTTGCCCCTGCCTTACGCCCAAATGATTGTTCTTGACGCAGGCATTGCAGCTGGCGCAGCACGGGTGTTTGTAGCGCAGGAGCTAATCAGCGCGCGCTGTTTGGGCCTTTTGGAAGCGCCTGCAAACCGAGCCATTGTCCCATGTCAGTCCTCGTGATGAGCTTGCTGCTGTCGATGACTTGATCAATGAACGTCGTGTTGCTGGCCTGTTGTTGGCATTTCGCATGTTCGGCAACACGTCTACTGCAGGCCGCGTGCCAAGCCTTGGTTCAGACATTGCTGGCTGCCACTTTGTTGCCAGTCGCGCCGCTGTGTCTGTGCACGGTCCAAGCAGGTAGAGCCATGGGCTCAATCTCTTCACAGTGGTCGAAATGCAAAGCCAGCGGTGCGAGGCAGCTTCTGGCTTGCGGCCCGTAGCTGATACCTCGTTGTGTTTCGAAGTTACGTAAAGAGCCTGCAGATAGCGCCTGTGACCAGAGGGTGGCATAGACACAAGCCTGGTCCGGTTGAGAGGACTGTTTGCTTGCCTGGCGCGGCTGCATTTTGACAGTTCCAGTTGTGTCATGGCTGGTGAGATATCTATCCTTTCTTGGCCCTGTATGTTCAGACATATCGTTCTGGACGGGCCGAAGAGCCGCAGAATGTAGACAGCAGTGTGGGGTTGCAGCCATTGAATGCGAGTGGATTTGACATTCGCCCAATGACAGCTCCAGCCGCTCGCGCAGTGTCCGAAATGCGAAGTGAGAGAGGCGCCGCAGCTTCAGGCTTGTGGCCCGTAGATGCCCCGCTGTCAAAGTGCTGAGTTGCTTGGCTGTTGGCTTGCGAGAAGAACCCTGCAGATGGCGCCTGTGACCAGAGGGTGGCATAGACACAAGCCTGGTCCGGTTTAAAGGACTGTTTGCTTGCCAGGCACGGCTGCATTTTGACCGTTGGCATGTGCCAGCTGTGTCATGGCTGGTGGGATATCTACCCTTTCTTGGCCCTGTATGTTCAGACATATTTTGGATTGGCCAAAGAGCCGCAGAACATAGACGGCAGTGTGGGGTTGCAGCCATGGAAAGCGAGTAGAAAGAAGCGAAACGCAGATGTTTGGGATCCTTCTTCGCGATGCGTGAAGCAAAGCTGGAACGAACGCTGCGTTCCGGAGCAAAACAATTGTTTGGAAGTTGATTGCTACTTTCAACATTTGGGGTTCGAATATTCAATTTGAAAAACCAGCTTCAAGCTGCTACTTAGTCACTGCTTTTTTTGGCTTCAACATATTGTGCACTCTGCGCTTCAAAAGGCGATTTGTTCCTTCTGGTTTCCACTCCGGGACCAAACTTGAGACCGGTTCGCACATTTGCGACAAGTAGGTAAGACAGCCCTGCTTGAAAGCGATGGGGTCTTTTGCGTCCACGGCAATAAGGGTGTCCACTGCTCAATCATGGTTGGACCGCAATTTTTGAATCAACCTCTTCTTGGTGACGTTTCAAGGGGCCCAGGTAGCCATTGTAACTGGGTCATCACTAGTTGCCATGACTATATACCTGGAGTCTACATGACCCTTTAAAACTGGGGTCATTACCCAAAATAAAGGGGTCATGGACCCATTTTTTAAGGGGTCATGGAGACTGGCCATTCTCGGTTGGTCAGGGGCATTCGAGAGATTTAAGAGTCCGAGGAGCTGGATGCAAAGCTTCGCCGGTTTAGCGCCCGCGCGGAGTCTGGCAGCCGGAGGGCCCAGCGTGTTTTTTTGTTTCTTCTTCTTCTTCTTTCATTGTTTGTTTTTGCGTGGTGTTTTTTTCGGCCGAGT